ATGATGTCACAAAACAGCGATTTCAGTGGAATGGATTATCATTGTCTAACAAGGCACCACTGTATATTAACTGGGATTTGAATGCTTGAGAGAAAAGAAATGGAAGCAGTGAAGTCTACTAAATTTCAATAGTGTCATGTCTGAGTTACTAGCTCTTCTTTGACTAAAATTCTGTAAGCTTCATGGAGATTTTAACAGTCAACTTTATTCCTGCATTGAGACAAGGAGACTCAATGTACTTATATACCCCAACTCCATTATTCTATGATTGCATGATAATCAAAATGTATTATAACCCTTAAAGAGTTAATAAGAGTATTGTATTTAAGGTGTTTATATATAAAACCCTCCATAGAATAGTGAATATTATTATTGTTTGTTGGCTGAAATCCAGGTGATACAACTTACATTGTGAAAAAAACTAATTGCCATCAGCTGGCTGGAGTTTTGAAAAATTAACATTTTTTTATGGTTGTCATAGGTTTTTCGAACTGCCTGGCCATGTTCTTGAGGTTTTTCTTTCTAACATTTCGCCAATCTCTCTGTGGCTGGCATCTTCAGAGGACTGGAGTCAGAACTCTGTCTCTGCTCTGGTCTGACTCCTGTCCTCTGAAGATGCCGGCCACAGAGGTAGGAAGAAAAGTTAGGAAGAAAAACCTCAAGAACTTGGCCAGGCAGTTCAAAAAACCTATGACAACCATTGGATCCCGGCCGTGAAAGCCTTTGAGAATACATGAAACATTTTTTACTTCTGTCCTGAGGCTCTTGAGGTTCCCACGTAATCCCTTTCATTTTGGGAGACTTGTGGACTGTTTGGGAGTTGTGTAGTCGCAAAAGCTTAGGGGAGTTGTCTTTAATTACTGAAATTCACCACTGTCAGCACACTTTTAGCAGAGGCAGTGATTTTGGTAGTTAAAGACTTCCTGATCCCGTCCTGTGGCTCCCATGGCTTCCCGATGATGACTGTGATAACATGAGAGTTTGGGGACCTTCAAGAGAGATATCAGAAATGTTAAATTTCTGAATAATTGCCATGTCTGCTGATACAATTGGCTTTATATATGGTAAGTTTCACCAACAGGATTTGAGCTGTTAAAGCATTAAGAGTAGAGATGGGGACGAATATAAAAACGGATTGATTTTTCTGACAAATATAGCTGATGCGTTAAATATTTGTTGATCTGTATTTGTGGGTTCCAGAGACCCCCACGAATACGAAGGGATGACTATTTACCCGTATTTATTTGTCCTTCATATATTTTTTTAAAAAAACACACAATTCTGCCTACCGGCCACCAATCAACTGATAGGCAACAGAAAGGCAGCCACCCCCCACACCCAATACTACAGCCTACCCCTACCCCTTCCTTTCCCTATCTTAGGCCCCATTCCACCCCACACCACCCACACCAAAACCTTTTTACCTTAATTGCTGCTGCCGAGGTCTCCTGGCCTTGGAGCCATGCAGGTAAAAATGGAGACTAGCTGCCCTTTGCAAAGATGGCAGCTGTGGCTTCATTTAGGGTAGAGAAGCTGCAGCTGCCATCTTTGCAAAGGGCAACCTGGATTCCCTTAGCCTGCTTTATGGGAATCCAGGCTGCCCTTTGCAAAGATCGCAGCAGCAGCTTCCCTACCCTAAATGAAGCCACAGCTACCACCTTTGCAAAGGGCAGCTAGTCTCCCTTTTTACATGTGTGGCTGCAAAGGCCTGATGGAGAACTCGGCAGCAGCTATTAAATTAAAGGGGTGTCAGTGGGAGTGGGGTGGGGACTAAGGTAGGGAAAGGAAGGGGTGTTGACGTGGCTGGCTATGTGCATGGGGTCACTACCTATCGGCTTCTTAGCAGCTGATTGGTGGCCGGTAGGCAGAATGGGCTTCTGTCAGCACACTTTTAAACTCTCCTGGGGAAGGCAATTTTGGGGTGAATAATGTGGATGTCTGATATCCAATCTTCACAAAAGTTGGTAGGCATGTTGGGGAAAGACATAGGAAGCTCTGTTGTGATTCTGGAGTCTCTAAGTACCTGGTAGGAGCTTTCCTGGTGGTTCCTTTTTGTGACTATATAACTTGGAGGTCCATGATCCAATGTTCACCAACCTTTCAGAAGTTGTAGAAATGCATCTGAAGAAACTTCTCTGCACATGTGGTGTCTCTAGGTGGTTGGGGGGGGGCAGTGTTATAGCCATTTAAAATGAAGACAAACTGATGGATCGCTTCATCGATTCGTTGAAGAATATTTGCATATTTGTATTTGTTAACCTTGACAAACAAGGGATCAAAACGAATTGCCATTTTTTGATTTGTCCCCATCTCTAATTAAGAGTATTCCACTTGAAGGAAGTTGTAAGCAATGAGCCAACATGAAATGAAGGAAAACCTTAATTAAAGTATTTGCACTATCTAGGGTATTGCTGCATGTTAATATTTGCTCAATGGCATGTCAATTGAAAGGTGATTTAAGAAACAAGCGACAAATGAACCAGCATGATGGAAGAGATTAATTTATTCCTTTACTCTATCTAGGCGATGCCTACACAGCAGGGAAGCTGATAAAGACTGAAGAGGACTGCAGTCTTGCTAAGGGCTTTTGTACATCTGAACCGGAGTGCAATACACCTTACCCCTCCCTGGGATCCTGTGGGGGAAATAACTTATGTTGCTTGGCGTAAGATGTTCTCCTTTTTTTCAGCTCCCTGAAACTCAAATCAAGAATTCTTCCTATTTTCAGATTACCATTCTCCATGTTTTATGGTGTCTAACCGCTGATGTCCCACATTTCAAATTTTTGAAATTTATTTATTTATTTATTATTTGTTTTATTTGTATGCTGCTTTTCTTTCGATAAGAGGATCCATTCAGTAAATGCAAAATCATCATCATGTGCCCTCAAGTCAATTCTGATTTATGCCAACCTCTTTCGGGATTCTCCAGGTATAGACTATAACAGGACCCACAAATCTGAAAGGAATTAGTTCATCATCCCTGTGGCTGATGAAAGCCAAGAATAATAATCAACTCTATCCATAGCATGGTCTCTGTCCTCCCCCTAGTAGCCAGTCATGGTAATTACAACATGGGAATATGTACAGTGGTGCCTCGCATAGCGATCACTCCGCATAGTGATGAGATCGCTTTGCGATGGAATTTTTGCCATCGCAAGAGTGATCACTTTGCGATGGCCACTATGGGGAAATTTCACTTTACGATGATCTCAGGGAAGCGATCATCGCAAAGCCCCCATTTTCGGCCAGCTGATTGGCGGTTTCAAAATGGCTGCCAGAAAAACAAAATGGCCTCCCACTGTTTTGCCTCGCTTAAGAGGCAGCGAAAATGGCAGCACTATGGAGGATTTTTGCATAAGGTTAGCTTTTAAGCCCATAGGAATGCATTAAACACATTTTAATCCGTTTCTATGGGCTTTTTAAAATCACTTAGCGATGAAATCGCTTAGCAGCGATTTTTGCTGCATGGATTAACATCGCTAAGTGAGCCACCACTGTACATCTGGGGTTTTTCTTTTAATACTAATGGTTTCAGACCATCTTGGATACTGATCCCACAGATATGAGGGCTCTACTGTACTCAAAAGTGTTTTACCATTCTCTTATTCTGGGAGTGTCCTCATACTGTGCAGCTTGCCCAAGACTACTCAGGCCAACCTTGCCCATAGCAGACACAGTGGGGAATCACACTTCCAAATTCTGGATTCCCCAAGTCAGCTGCTAAAAGGGGACTTTTCTAGGGGAACCCACTTTATGGGTGTTTAGCTTTGATGTCTGAACCCCAATTAGCACCAAATTTGGAAGGATTGTAGAGGAGAGTCACTAGAATCCTCTATATGATTTTGGTGTCTTTGGGTGCCTGGGAGAAACTTTTCTGGTGGTGCCCTTCTTGTGGGCAAAAAGCTCAGACATCTGAAACCCAAACTGACAATCTGGCGGAATGTTAGGGGAAGCGACTCTGCAAATTTGGTGTGTCTAGGTGCTTGGGTGGGCATTTTATAGGGTTTTGAATTTTAAAAATCGACAAATGGATTCACTGACTTGTCAGGAAAAAAATGTAAATTTGTAATTCATGATTCGGTGACTTTGAGGAATCCAAATCAAAATGAATCACCATTTTTCTGATTTGTGCCCATCTTTGTTCCTGAGCATGCAGGAGGAATGAAGTGGAAAATGTACCGTATTTGCTGGCGCCCTGAAAAACATGCCTCCAAGTGGGAGAATCGTCTTGTATGCTGGGTGCACGTCCAGCAAACCCTCCCTCTCTCCCAGCGAAGTCACTTACCTGGTAGTAAGACCGAGTAGAGCCCCACTCCTAGCCTGGGAACAGCCTGACTCTAGCGCCGAACAGCTGATTGTCGGGAACCAGCAGAGGCAGCCATTATGAGATGCGACCACATGGCTGCTGCCTCTCAAAATGGCTGCCACCTCTCCAAAATGGCTGCCGCCTCTCTGCTGGTTCCTGACAGTCAGCTGTTCAGCGCTGATGCTGTGCTTCTTCCAGGAAACCTTCGCTCTCTCCCACTGAAAGGAACCAAAAGTGGCAAAACAAACTCTCCCCATAATGCAGCCAAAGCAGAATCACGCATGCGGAAGAGGGGGTAGTCTTATACAGCAATTATATAGCAAACTCTACATTTTGAGTGGAAATGTTGGGGAGTCGTCTTATACACCCAGTTGCCTTATACGCCGGCAAATACGGTAACCAGGAAAATTCAGATGGAGAAATCAGAAGAAACTATGTGAAATTCACTCACTGGGGCAAATAAAGGACCTCAGTTTCCTTTTTTTGTGTTCTGATTAACTTTTTTTCTGAATGTCTCAGTAGACATTTTGTACAGGAATGATGACGATGATGACAATTTTGCAAGTGCTCCCTTTTCAGTTTGAAGGTATCCAGGAAAGTATCCATTTTCCCTTTATTTTCCTGGCTGGCCAGTGTTCTGAAAATGAAAGACAGTCCAGAGTTGACCTAAGGGCCAAACAAAATCTTATAGAGTTTCAGGTTGAGTGGGGAATAAGGGCAGGCACAGTTTTTTATATGGAAAAGAGGTCCTGAATATTTTTATGGGGGAGAGTGACCATCTTCGTCTTCCCTTCCTCACAGTATTTAGAAGAACTTGTGCAGCTGTATTACACATCACATAGACCTCTCCAGCCAAGAAGGCTGCAAAAATTCACAAGTATGGATGCAGAGGCTGGAGAACAAATCTTAAAAAGCCAGTTTAAGTATTCATATGCCATGAAACATGGCAGCCAAGAAAAAGTGTTCGGAAAGCCACTCGTAACACTTACCTTAGTGTTAGAAGATGGACCTGTCAGTCATTTATCACCTTGGGTTCTTTCAAAGAAATAAAATTGAAAAGCTGTTATTCTCCTTCCTGTTCTTGAAGTCTGAAAGACCATACAATGCTTCATCTAGGGTTAGTATTGGTACTGTTAAGCTTTGGAAGGAAGCTAATAAATAAGAGATTATTTGGCATTCAGATGTAAATTAAATAAATACTTGGTTAAGCATTGAGTTATATAGACACCCCCCCCTCTGTTATATTACTTTGCGTACATAAAAAGCCAGCAAGAATAAAACTTTTGGAGTTAAAAATAAGGGAACTCTTCTATCTTTCTGCAGATTTGGTGGGAAATGATGGAGAGAGACATACCACATCCAGCAACAACAATGGCTTCCACTTAAGGAACGTGGATTTACTGTCGCTTGGCCCTTAGAAAGTGCAAAAATGAGACAGAGCTCCTATTGCACAGATATTTTATTTAAAACAATGAAAACTGGACCCTAGTTTCAATAAATAATGGAATATGTGTGTGGAGCTGTTTCTTTGTGACTCTTTTGTGGTGGGAAAAATTGGTTTTCTCTCTCGTTTGCTAAGTTTTGCATATTTTATGTGCCATTGTAAGTTATGGTGAGCCTCGTGGGATTTTCTGAGATATCTGAAATATGTGTGCTATTCCACAATGAGTTTCTATGCCAAGTGGGGTTTTGAACCCAAAGCTTCTTAGTCTCAGTCCAATTCTCTACCCGCTACACTGCTTTCATTTGTCAGGTTGGATATTGATTGATTGATTGATTGATTGATTGATTGATTGATTGATTGATTGATTGATTGATTGATTGATTTGATTTGATTTGATTTGATTCGATTTGATTTGATTTGTACCCTGCCCATCTGGTCTATGCGACCACTGTGAGCGGCTTCCAATATAATACAAACAATTAATAAAAACACATAGTTACATAAATCTACAAATGAAAATGTGGAAACCAAGAAAATAGAGTAAAAATAAATTACAGAGAAATGAGAAGAGAGAATCAAGTATTGACTGGAGGGAAGGCCTGGATGTACAGTGGTGCCTCACATAGCGACATTAATTTGTGCAGCAAAAATCGCTGCTAAGCAATTTTGTCGCTATGTGATTTTACAAAGCCCATAGAAACTCATTAAAACCTGTTTAATGCATTCCTATGGGCAAAAAACTGACCTTAAAGTGAAGATCCTCCATACGGCAGCCATTTTTGCTGTCTCTAAAGCAAGGAATCTGTGCAAAAACACAGCTGGTGGCCATTTTTTTACCCGGTGGCCATTTTGGAACCACCGATCAGCTGTTAAAAAATCATTGCTTTGCGATGATTGGTAAGCGAAACAGGGAACCGATCATTGCAAAGTGAAAAAAACCCATAGGAAACATCGCAATGCGATCACTTTTGCAATTGCAAAAAGTTAATTACTATGCAGTTTCATCGCTAAACAGAGCGCCCGTTAAGCGAGGCACCACTGTACAGCCAAGTTTTTAATTGGCTTTTAAAAATGCCCAGCGTAGCGGCCGCACAAATCTCCGGAGGAAGTTTGTTCCAGAGGCAAGGAGCCACTGCCAAGAAGGCCCCTCAGCGTCACCTCCTGATTTGCATGGGTGATCTGGGTACAGCTTGGTGGGAGTAGGCGTTCCGCCAAATATCGAGGTCCTAAACCGCTTAGGGCTCTATAAGTAAGCATTGAAACTTTGAAGTCGATGCAGAAACGGATGGACAGCCAATGCAATGCGGCCAGAATAGGAGAAATATGTTGGTATTTTCTCACTCCACTAAGGTGTCTGGCCGCCGCGTTCTGCACCACCTGAAGTTTCTGCATAGAATAATAGATAGAGATAATTACATGCCATCAAGTCAATTCTAAATCAAGCTCCTGATCTCTGGTTGTTCAACAACTCCTCCTGATCATATGTCAAATAGCCGTTGTGATTGGAAGGAGTGATGAAGTTCGGTTTTTTGTTGGAAGACTTATAGGTATTCCTTATGCAGTTAGCAGAGTATGAGGCAGGAAAAATAAAGACCAGTTCAGAAGCAGGGAAACATGAGACAATAGCTCAAGTCTCTGCACTGCAGTGACTAGCGCTCATGTAATAGTAAATCACTCTAGACACATTTCAAGTAGAAAAAAAATGAAATACCCTTACTTAAACTAAGACAGACTGCAGTGACAGTCAGAAAATAAAAATAAAAAGGAATTGGAGTCTCCACAACATGGAAGAGTCTCCCATGCTCATTGCTCTGTCGTCGATAGTCTGATGAGAACTAACACAAAAAAAATGGAAGCAAGGAAAACAAACAGGAAGAGGGGGAGAGGGCTTGCCTCAACAGGGAAAAATAAATTTGCTAGGTTAGTGGCAAAGGACCATTACCTTAGGCTGTGAATCCTCCTGCTGCTGATATTGCATGCAAGGTTGTTATTATTCCAACAATTTGCACATCACAGCTGTCAGTGAGCAAAAAGCACCTCCCTTCCTTCCCCTTCCAATCATACCACCCTATTATGTTCACTTAATCCTTCTCCACAATGTGGCTTTCCCCCACTCATTTTAGAGAACTGAATGGCCTTGGTTCATTTCTTTTCACCATGGAACCGAATCTGAGTATTTTGCTTCAGCTAGGACTTCATACGGTTTGGTTGAAAACTGGTCAATTTGGTTTCAGGGCTGGGTGAAACTGATGCAAAACCCTATCAGTTTTGCCTATCAACATCCTCATCATCTATTACTACCATCCTGTTGGTTATTAGATAGTGATTTGCCTCAAGCTGCCTGATTAAGACCAGATCTGAAAACCAGAGTTACTAGTTCAAATTTGGGCAAAACAATCCTATGCAAGTTTACTCCAGTGTAACTTCCACCATGTTTAGTAGAGGGTGAGGGGGCTCTGCAGCAGATTATTCAGGAAATCAAGCCCAAATTTCTAAGAGTTACATACTCTCTGCACCCACTTTTATTTTTTTCAAATCTTGAATTCTTAGGAAGAAAAACAGTTATCAAAATTGGATGCTTTAACCCACTAAAGGAAGTTCTCCTATTCTCTTCCCATCAGCCAGACAAGAGATATCGTCTGAATAACTTCCCTTTCACAAGTATGTTGCTTCATAGCACTGGGAGGTCCAGCATATCTCTCCCACATGCATTGTAATGCGGCTATCTTTTAAAAAACCCTCAAAATAACAAACAGGAAACACAACTAAGAACATGGCAGAAGGAGCAAGCAAGCAGTGCTAACATCACAAAGGTGAGTGAAAATGTACTAATACATTTGGAGAAAAATTTACCCTTGTTTCTTCAGGCTTGAACAACTGGTTTTCCACAGGCTGAGCTAGTAGCTGGCATTTACGGAAGAGCGAACTCTTATCAGTGTTTTTAAATAAGTTTTGTGTAACATGCTCTGGCTAATCGAAGCTAGCTGACGTGTCTCAGCACATGCCTCATTGTGTAACTGAGATGCCTCTCGACACTTGTTCAATTTTTCTGTTGTTGTTTAATGATCAAGTTGTGTCTGCCTCTTTGTGACCCTGTGGACCAAAGCTCACCAGGCCATCCTGTCTTCCACTTTTAAGATTTTAAATAGTTCAACTGGTATGCCATCACCTCCACTGGCCTTGTTGTTATCCGTGTTTCCTAAGACCCACTTGACTTCGCTCTCCAGGATGTCTGGCTCAAAATGAACAACCACACTATCTGGGTTGTCCGGGACATCGAGATCTTTCTGGTATCATTCCTCTGTGTATTCTTGCCACCTCTTCTTGATGTCTTCTGCTTCTGTGAGGTCCCTACCATTTTTGTCCTTTATCATGTCCATCTTCCTTGTCAATTAGTGACAATTAATGATGGCAACTTACAGAAATCTAATGCAGATACCGGTGAAACTTTGGTCAAAGTCTATTCATTACAAAATAAAGGAATAGCAGAGTCTTAGAATGTATGCCACTTAATGTTTGTGAATCAAGTTTCCCATTAGAACACTTCGTGAAGTCCTGTTTAGCCATAAACAAACACCGAAACCTTCCAGCCTTTTCTACTAGAGTGCCATCTCCAGGACGAGTGGGACCAGTAATAAGAAAACAATGTTTTTATGTAGTAATAATGGGCTAGACTTAATAACCCATGCAGTCCATTTCTACTCCACAATTCTATGGTTCTGTTCTTGTTTGTAGCCAAAAGACAGACCTAGACTTCCTGATGGCCCATGTCACGGCTGGAGCAGCAACCCTACCTCTTCCATTCTCTGGTGTCCTCAATTCAGTGATACCCATGTGGCTCCACCACAATGGTAGTCGGGCGCCCTTGCCATGATTGCGCTGGCAGGCTCAGATTGGCCAGTACAACCTGAGGGTGGGGCAGGCTGCCAGCTGGTGGTCCTGAGAGGTGGTGTTTCCACTCAGGTCCTCTGGCCCAGCTTAGAAACAGAGCCAACGGAAGCTTCTTCAAAGGCAGTTACACATAGAGCACATGACAGTAATGCAAATGGAATGGCAGGCTCAGATTGGCCAGTACAACCTGAGGGTGGGGCAGGCTGCCAGCTGGTGGTCCTGAGAGGTGGTGTTTCCACTCAGGTCCTCTGGCCCAGCTTAGAAACAGAGCCAACGGAAGCTTCTGAACGGTCTTCAAAGGCAGTCACACATAGAGCACATGACAGTAATCCGAACAGGATGTAATTAAGGCATGTGTCACTGTAGCCAGATCTGACATCTCAAGGAACGGGCGCAGCTGGTGCACCAGCTTTACTTGTGCAAATGCCCTCCTGGCCACCACCAAAACCTGGACATCCAAGCTTAGGGATGAATCCAGGATTACCCCCAAGCTGTGGACCTGAGTTTTCAGGGGGAGTATAACCCCATCCAGCACAGGTAGTATCCCTATTCCCTCATCTGCCTTCTGACTGGCCTGGAGCACCTCTGTCTTGTCCAGAATAAGTTTCACTTTGTTTGCCCTCATCCAGCCTATTACTGATGCCAAGCACTCGTTTAGAGTCAAGACAGCTTCCCTGGAATTAGGTGGGGAGAAGAGAAAGAGCTGGGTGTCATCCGCATATTGGTGACACCAAACCCCAAAACTCTGGACAACCTCTCCTGGTGATTTCATGTAGAATGTTAAAAAGCATGCGTGACAAAGGAATGTCATAGGCCAGGGCATTGAGGTGTCATCACCCAGGACCACCTTCTGAGTTCTCCCCTCCAGGAAGGACTGGAGCAACTGTGAAACAGTGCTTCTATCATCTCAAAGAGAGGGCCCAGAAGGATACCACAGCTGATGTTATCAAAAGCCACTGAGAGGTCCAGCAGAACCAACAGGGACACACTCCTGTCCAGTTCCCACCAAGATGACTGCATCACCCAGGACCACCTTCTGAGTTCTCCCCTCCAGGAAGGACTGGAGCAACTGTGAAACAGTGCTTCTATCATCCCAAAGAGAGGGCCCAGAAGGATAACATATGTGATGTTATCAAAAGCCGCTGAGAGGTCCAGCAGAACCAACAGGGACACATTCCTGTCCAGATTGAAATGGGTCTAGAGAATCCACTTCCTCCAGGAATCCCTGGAGCTAAGAAACCACCACACACTCTAATACCTTGCCCAGGATTGGGATGTTTGAGACTGGCTGGTACTTATCCAGTACACTGGGATCCAGGGAAGGCTTCTTATTACTGCCTCCTTTAAGCACGCAAGGATCCTACCTGCAAGGAAGCATTTACTATTCCCTGTACCCAATCAGCCATTCCTTGCATGGCTGCTTTTATGAGCCAGGAAGGGCAACAGTCCAGCACACATATGGTGGTACCTACCTCTCCAAGAATCCTGTCTTAGAATTAGCATAGGTGTTTACTCTGACTGGGGTACATAATGGGTTTGTACGAAGGCAAGGTTGTGGTGTGTAACTATTTTCCTTTTATTCTTCTCATAACTTTATTGGGTAGGTGGGGCTCCTCAGCCATGGAAAGCAGCCCATCTAGGAGAAGGAAACTCCGATTTCAAACCTCCACTGCCTTGCAGCTATATCCACCCAGGGAAAGGCTTCAGGAGTTAACCTAGAGGCAAAATCTGGAGCTGGAGTCCTGAAGGCAGTTTGTGTCATTCTGCCAACTCCTGCGATGTTGCTGGAACCAGTTGTATTGGCTCTTGCCTTTCCATTGGACCATTTCAGCAATGTGGAGAGGGGGGATCTGCTGCTTGGGTAACAGCTTATCCTCCATATTACTTTACCCAGGCTTCATGGTTTAGAGAGGACACTCCTCGATTCAGAGCATGTTACCATAGTCTCTCGAGACTGAAGGATGCATATGAACTTTACTGGAGGTTTGGAGTATTGATATGGATCCAGAGGATGACAGACAGTAGGTGGTGACCTGCCTGTCACGGTTGATTCAGAACCCCTTGAGGGGCCCAGCGAGCAGGGTCAGGGAGTGTCCTAGCTCAGGTGGGCCAGGATTGTGGCCTTGCTACTGGTGGCAGGAGCTTCGGAGTAGCATACACTTGTGTGGTCTCCAATGGGTCTGCCATTCTGGGAAGGCAATGGCTTACATCAGGTGGCAGTCAAGTCTTTTGATAGACTGGATCAAATCTTAATGCCAGGGCAGGGAACTTCTGCTATACAGTCATGCCCCGCTGTACAATTACCCCACTCTATGACAAATCCGCTTTACGTTGACTTTTTGTGATCGCTTTTGCAGTTGCAAAATGTTTTAAATGGTTTTTTTTTTCGCTGTGCAATGATTGGTTCCCTGCTTCGGGAACTGATTTTTGCTTTACGATGATCAGCAAGCAGCTGATCATCGGGTTTCAAAATGGCCGCCGGCTGAAGAAAATGCCCCCCACTGTTTTCTACGATGGATTCCTCACTTTACAGGCACTGAAAATGGCCGCCTTATGGAGGATCTTCACTGGACGAACAGGTATTCAGCCCATTGGAATGCACTGAACGGTTTTCAATGCGTTTCAATGTTTTTTTATTTCGTTTGATGACGTTTTCACTCTATAGCGATTTCGCTGGAACAAATTAACGTTGTTAAGCGAGGCACCACAGTAATCAATAAAGCTGTGGCCCTTTTTGTTCCAGTTTATTTTGGGGGGAAGAAACTGAAGGAGCCTGCTTAGCAGTAAGCCAACGAATAGCTACATAATTTGCTCAAGTGTGTTAAATAATTTATCCCACATTGAAGATACCATGGAGACATGGACGTACTCGTTACGGCCAATAAGAACACAACAATAAATCAGTCCTTTCAAGATTATTGAATGCAATGAAGAAAGAGCAGCAAAGCCATGTTCCTGAACCAGTGAAGCCTTATGTTAATGTACTGTAACTTAGTTCCTTTTTCTGGCTCACTGTGTCTTCTTAAGAAGCACTGCACTAAAAGATTCTACCATCACAGACTTTGCATCAGGAAGATCAAGACCCATGTGTAAGAACTTCTCACAGCACTATAAAGAGTTGAGTATTTTAACTTTTCAAACAATACGGAATCTCGACAGCATACAGGTTAACTCTGTTTCTCTTCATCACCTCCTTGAATCTGTCATCGATCTTCAGGATGCAAATCTGTCACACTTTCATCATTGGTCTTTCATGGATGGCATTGGCTTCGGAAGGTAAGGTATGCACCCGCAATTGAAAGCATTTTAAATAACTCTATCTCTCCTTCCCATCTAACTCAAAGGAAAGCTGTCTTGGTTCTTGACATCAGTAGTATACTGGATGAGGGTGAAACTTAATCCAGACTGGACAGAGTTGCTGCTGTTCAGTTGGAAGGCAGATCAAGGAATAGGGATGCAGACAGTACTGGATGGGGTTACACTCCCCCTGAAAACTCAGGTTCACAATTTAGGCATACTCCTGGATTCATCCCTGATCTTGGACGCCCAGGTTTTGGTGGTGGCTAGGAGTGCTTTTCCACAGTTAAAACTGGTGTGCCAGTTTCACCCATTCCCTGAGGTGTCTGCACTGGCTACTGTGACGCATGCCTTAGTTACAATCTGCTTGGATTACTGTAATGCGCTCTATGTGGGGCGGCCTTTGTATTGGTGGTTGACCTCAAAAGAGACACAAGAAATATAAGACAATACAATGAAAGCAACAAAAAGCATTGAGATACAAACAGATAATCAGAATAATCAAAATATAACCAGTGCCTCGACACATAAAACCACGCTCAATGCTAGATAACATTTTTAGCAATTACTGTACTGCATATTTAATTATATTATGTTTAATTGTTTTTTTAACTTTGTGGGATTTTTCGTGTAACTTGTTTTACTCATTGCGAGTCACCTTGGGTCCCTTCAATGGGAAAAGGATGGCCAAGAAATAAAAACAAACAAACAAACATACATACAAACATGTTGTGGTAAGGCAGTGGCAGAGGCCCCTGCCAGCCATTTTCTGGAGCACTCTGCTTCCCACCTCAGGCGGTGGCAATCCTTAGGCCATCCCTGTCCTCCTGATACAACAGCTGAAACTGGAATGATGTCACTTAAGGGGAATGATGTCATCATCAGCAGAAAAAAACCCCAGCTTCCTTTATGTGTGGGTGTGTGACTTTGCCATGACTCAGAGTCATGTAGAATCATAGTGTCACAGTGCGGGATATCCCAGGCAGTCCCACACCAGAGACAAGGGCACCAGGACCCAATCCACCACACAGAGTACCAAGTCCCACAGCACTCCCTGTGCAGTTGGTTGTGACTAAGCAGAGGCAGGCCCTTCATGGATGGCTGCCTTGTCGTGACGAAGGGGCTTGAGTAATTCAGAGAAGCTATGGGCTAGGCCGTGTAGGGAAAACCAAGACGGACAGGGCATAGTGGAGAGGTCTGACTAAATGTGATCCACCTGAAGCAGGAACTGGCAAGCCGCTCCAGTATCTTTGCCAAGAAAACTCCATGGTCAGAAACAGAAAGGCTAAAAGATATGACA